CACATCATGTCAATATTTATTTTGTCTATACTAAGTAAAAGGTAAATCATTATCTCAATATTTATTCCATAATTCGTCATAATTTTCCCACATCATGTCAATATTTATTTTGTCTATACTAGGTAAAAGGTAAATCATTATCTCAATATTTATTCTATATATTCTAAATAAATCTTCTCATCTATCTCAACGGTCCGCAGGTAGTATTTCATACTTTTCTATTCATAATCAAATATACCAAACATTCACAAATTTTACTTCACAAAGAAAGTATTCAATAATTTATATTTTTTTTCCTTCTTTGCAATCCTATATTTTTATTACATATATATAAATTATATTATTTTTAATATTTCACACGTTAAACATTTCAGGAAAATATACCATCCCGTGCATCGCACGGGCTATGCGCTAGTTTATATTTACAAAGTGCCAATATTATTCGCCAATCCAACCAGCTATTAAAACAATTATTAGTTTTTCACTAATATAATCATCTATATGATATCAGCTAATAGTCAAATAAGGTCGATATGTCTCTTCCTTAGTGAATCGGAATAGACCAATTATCTTTTATTACTACTACAACCCATTTTTCAATCACTTCCAAAAACAAGTTGGAAGTTATTTTCGTTTTAAAAACTCAGACGATCAAGTTAGATGGTGATTTATTTTTCTAGAGTAGAGATGGCATATTCAGACAGTAGGAAATATTTCTCGTAGATGGTTTTTTTTTTTTTTTATTTCTTTAATAAGTTACCTGTTACACAAACTTTCTTTTGGGTAAAAATAAATCCCATTTTTTTCAATTTGCAGATATACCTCAAACAATTTAGATAGCTCTATTTTCTTTTCTTCACCTCCACCGACCTTCAAAACAATCCTGATCGCCCATATAGAGGTTGACCTCTCTATCTTCGAGCTAAATACTCAAAAGTATCCTCTCAGAACTACAATCTTGAGTCATATAACTTTGAGCTGCTAATTATTAGGGATGGTATTGGTTCGATAAGCGTATACCGATATCGAACCAATAATGTCGGTAACCTCGAAATGCAAAACCGATACCGAACTGATTAAAGTCGGTTATCGAATTTTCAGTAACCGAAAACTCGGTTTGGTTTCAGTTTTATATCGAAAAAAACGAACCGGTTTTGTGCACCAAAAAAAAAAAATGCTAGTGTTTACTTTTATCGTCATTTTGGTAGTTTTCTCACGTCTTACGAATTAAATACACACAAAAGACTCACAAATGGATTAAAGAGCTTAAATTTAATATATAGAAGTTAGTTTAAATATAACTAAATTATCGTTTTTGTGTTAAACGCAACTAATAAAGAATATATTATCTAGTAACGGTGGTACGAGAATAAACTACAGTAACGGTACCATCTTCCTTAGAAGGAGTGAGACTGGTAAACCGACAATGTTCCGGTGAGAATGTGAATGAGGCGATGGGTAGTGTATTTTTCTCGTCAGTTTGAGATTTAGGTAGGGTTGAACCCTTATTCCAATTTTTAAACACTAAACACTAAACACTAATCCTTGTTTTAATATCTACCAAAAAAAAAAATCCTTGTTTTAATTTTTTTTACCCTTATCGGTTCGGTTCGGTTTTACCGAACCCTTATGGGTTCAAAATCGATACCGAATCGATAGTGATTCGATAACCGATTATTACAAACTGTTCGGTACGATTCGGTTTATTTTCTCGTCGGTTCGATATTCAGTTTTCAGTTAAAAAATGTCAGACCTACTAACTATTACCATCATTGGGCCCATCGAGCTGTTGTATAGTGTGACATCAAAATATATGTATACTAGAGTGAGGAGAAAAAAAAATAAAAAATTGTCAACCCAGTTGAATATAATACAACAAGCCTCTAGCATGGAGCAACTAATTATACATTACAAACTATTTTACTCAAGTTGCAAAAACTAATTATATTATAGTATGATGAAACAGATAAAATTTGTTACAGTCTACAGAGTAGACACCAACTGGCAAGTGTAATAGGCCCATCACAGGCCCAATAGTGGTAAGAGGGCGAAATCAAAGCAGATGTAGTGGGGACCACCTTTAGGTTGCTGCCGTTATTCAATTTTAGGCCTACTCAATGTACTCATTCAAATTTTAGGCCCCCAAACATATTAGTTTTTCAAACCCGGCCCGTACAGTGCATGGACTAATTTTTTGATCATTGGTTGAACTGTCGGGTTGTTGGATTAATTGTACAATGAAATAATTAATTTTTTTTTTAAATTTAAAAAATTATATGTATAATATTTTTTTTCTTTCTAGTTTTAATAAAAATAAAAAATAAATAGTTTACGCTCCAAAATCGTAATACTATTAATTTTAATCATAAATATTTATCACATGATATATAAAAAAAATATTTTGAAAATTAATATATCTTAAAAAATAACAAAAAAATAAATTTTTTATCAAAATTTTACACTTCTAAGTCATAATATTATTGTCTCTCATCATAAAAATTATCGCAGAAATTATAACTATATACAAATGATTATAATTCTGAAAATTATATACATTTTAACAAAATAATAAAAATAAGTTAATTACATATAAATTTTATTCCCCAAACTCTTAATATTATTAAGTATCATTTTAAATATTTACCACGTAAATATATATGCATAATTTTATTTCTAAAAAAAATAATGTCAATGATGCAGATATGTTATGAGTTTGTTTTTTGCAGAGATGATGGGCGTTAGATTGACTAATGTTTTACTCATATTTGTATTATATTTTAAAGTGCAACATATGAATAAAAAAAGTATGTATATTTGTTGTAAAAGTATTTGATTAGACAACCTAATAAAAGATGTGTCAACTTTTTTATATAATGAAAGACTCAAATGGACATTTTTTTAGTTATTTCCACAAATTAAACGATTAAATTCCAATCTCAGTAATTATAATATAATTTTAATAGATAATTCATTGTTATAGTTTTCGTTGAGAAATTTCACTGAAATTATTTCATTAAATATTAATTTTTGTTAGATATTAGCACTTCCAACAATTGAAATTGTCAGTGAGGAAAAAAAAAATCAAGCATAATTACATATAATAGTAGTAAATTTGTTGGAATAATCGAATTCCATAAAAAATTCAACTATAGAGAAATATATTAGCATTTTAGCTCAAATCTCCAATGGAAATTACTCATTAAATCTTATGTGACAGGCGACATAAAATAGAAGAGAATTCAAAGTAGAGAACGTCCAACCAACATGCAATAAGGTCAAATTTGTGAATCATGTTCCCAATTTTTTAAATATCTTTGAGTTGATATGTGTTTTATGTTTCAAGTATGACACCAAATTTTCAAGATTTTGTTAGGTACAAAAGTTTTCTTTTTTCTTCTTTATATATATTATTTAGGACCAGGACAATCAATTTGAAAATGCTATCACACATTTAGTAATGCCAAAAGTGGACGATGTGGGATCAAATAATCAATGAATTTGGAACAACTTTTGCTGCAAAGGAAATTAGGCACTTGATGAGAAGAGAAAAGAAAAGAAAAATACCAAATGGTGGCCTAATCATTTTTATTTGGTTTTGCTAAATTTGGTATGGTATGATATGTCATTGGATCCATACAATCATGGTCTCAACAAGTAGCAATTTTGGTTCAAATGGTGTGATATGATCCCAACTCAGCTAAATTGAATATGTTCGCTCGAAGAGTCCTATGCATCGGTGCTTTGAAGTAATCCGTATAGATAGACTGTTTTTTAAAATTATAAAACACTTGACTAATTTAAATTATGAATATATTGTAAAAGTCAATAATTTTTTTTATTTTCTATCGGTTTTTTATACATAATATATCAAATTAATCATCTCTTAACGAGCTTCGTTTGACATTCATATTCCATGTATAAAATTAATAATTATATTTTCCATTATAATAAAAACTAAGTTATCTACTGATATTAATTAAAAAATAATAAAATTATCTATCGATTAAATAAATTTATCTATAAATTTATATTCATTATATAATATGAGTTAGAAAAATTATAATAATATAAGAGGGATAAGTCGTACAAGCAATGAGTGTCGTTTTAAATAAAAATAATAATGTAATTTTTGAAAATTATATAAATTTTAAACAAGGACTTTTCTTTTTCTCTCTTTGTAAATTAAAAGCATTAAATATTCTAACTAGCAACCCGTGTAATAAAGGGGAGTTGCACTAGTCATGATTAAGATCAATCGATAATGAAAATAAAATGAAACAAAATATTCTTCCATAATAAAGAATAAAATCATCTGCTACTCACTTCAAGGCCCAATTCAATATGTTGAAGACGGTAATAAAACACTGATAGATCTTCATAGCTCTTCATCGTATCTGGATAGTCAAGCCCCAGCTCCCTCTCGTTAATATTTAATGCCTTTTGCTGATATATTGTTGCCTGACATCACAATCTTATCAAACCTGCTTTCTCGGAAAGCTGAAATTTTGTACTGAATATACAATTCATCTGTAATATAAGCATGCTTTATATTAAATATTAAATCCAAAGTTTTACTATTTTCTTTATTGACCTGTACTATACATCATCATAAAACACTTCATTAATTTCCGCTGTCATTATTTCTCTGCAAGTTTCAAGTCCCTTGTGTAGTAAAGCCCGCAAATTTTGATTCCTCACATTTATAAATTTTGATTGTTATGGTTTGCTCAAGTACATATTATTTGGCCAAGTACGAGAAAGGTATTAACGTTTACGAAATATACAATAACATGTTACCTAATTGAGATCTCCAGTGTGATACAGAACAACAGCAAGAAGACTACGTGTTTGCGGTTGTACGGTGATAAGGACCACAGACAGCTATCATCTTCGCCAGCGCCTTCAGTTTTCATGTCAAACTCAATTTAGCATTAAGACAACAAAAACAGCAAATAAAATGTAGAATATTAGTTCCCATTTACCTTCATGCCATAATTGACAGCATCTTCCAGCTTCCCTTTGTCAAGTGCAGTCTTGGATGATTCCAGTAGAGTTCGCCCATCAGCAGATGAGCAGCAAACATGCTGGCAGAAGATAAAGTACAAGAAAAATGTTGTGAACCCTTCATTTCAAGAACAAAACTAAATCCGTAATTTTACATAATTGTTTGCTCGTACCTTGCAGACTGGCACTATGCTAATGATATCAGACTTTGGAAATGGTGCAGAGCTTTTCCAAATCGTAGTCCTTTGGGACCAACCTGAAAAGGGGAAGATGATAATTCTTTTCAACACATAAGTATTCGTATGAAATTTTATTTGATCAGTACCTTGTGACAAACTTCCCTAAGAATTGACAACTTCCTCGGGTGTTGGAATTCATCCAGCAGTTTCCAACGAAACCATTTCTCCAGAAAATGTCCGTAACCATTGCAATTTGAGAGATCGTCTTTGAGATTGGAAGACCCATGCAAGAAATTTAAGGTTGTGTCTATGGCAGAGGACATGTTCTCTATGCTCCCAACAGAAGCAATAACAGCTTGAACTATATGCTTAAAAGCTCGAGTAACCATTTCATGAATACAGAGAGATTGTATGTGAGGAAGCTTATCTGCAAGTTCCACCTGGTTCGAGCAATTAAATTAATTTATGCTCAAAAATAGTAAAGGGCAATTGAAAGAGTCTGCACATGCGCGCATGCATGCACACGCACATGGAAAATCAGGAATTGTTCACCCACCACACGACCTGACGAGCACCTTTAAGCCTCTAAGAATCATCTGGAGAAAGTTCAAGTGATGCAAAATCTGCGATCTGATAATAATTGAAAAAAAAAGAAAAGATTACAAAACTTGACAGGCAAGCGACACTATTAGTTCAACAGTGGAGCTATGAATGAATCGGTACCAGCTTAGGTAAAGCAACATCATCATAATACTCATGTGCCATCTTGACAAGTTCATCCGCTGTCTGCATGTTGAAACTTTGGTCCATAATTTTATATGCAACTGAGATAAATTAAAAAAGGAAAAAAAAATACATAAGATAAAAAAATACCTTTGTGTGAAGCCCTAACCCAGTTCCTTTCAAACGCAAGAAGGCCTCTTCAAATGATAGTTACATCACATATGATAGTTTGGGCAAACGGATTTTGAAAGTTGTGAAGGAAGGAAAATCACGTGATAGTTACAAGTTCAATTTGCAATCACCAAATGGGATATTAAATAGAGTTATCACATCCACGAGGACTGCACAGCAAACCAAGTTTTTTGTGCTTTGTATCTTCGAAATCTTTTGATTTCATTCTACAGACGCTGTGCACGTGGTAATTGGTAGGAAATGCCATAGTCATGATAGGAATACCACTTGTCTAAATTCCAATTAACGTATAAAAGATAAGAGCTCATTTTTAGGTGGGCATGTACTCATGGAGGTATACATACCGTGTTTACTATGTCACATTTCAGTGTACATATCATTAAATTGGCTGCTCATATATTTCATTTTGTCCTTAGATGTCGTTCTTTGACACATTCTAGCGACAAATTTTGTAAATACGAATGAAATAGGAAGTGTTTGCATTCAATCAAAGAGACTGATGTATATCCAAATAACAACTTCTACACCATGGAAAAATACAATCATCCCAATATGTACACATTCGAAATCCTCTAGCAACCCAAACTCTTCACTACAGCTAAAAACACCTCAAAATCCAAACAACAATTTGAACACTTAAAATCAAGATCACTAACACTAACCGCAGTAATTAAGCAAGATCAAAGCTGTCCCGACACCTTCAGTTCGACCCAGGATCAAGCACGGGCAGCCGACAGTGCAAACTGATCGACTTATCAGTCTGCCTCGTCCCCGGAACAAAAAACTGGAAGATGACAACCAAACAAGCACCCTGAGGGGCAATACCGTAAAATGCGCAGTCGGGCTTCGCAAGGCTGTACTGCAGGCACCTGAAAAAATGCTTCACGCTGACCTCCACCCTCATTGCATCCTGCCTCTGTACAGCCCGTTCAATCCGGGCCTGAGCGCTCAGATTTTCATCCCCACAGGCCCGACTCTCCCTCTCCCCCAAAACCATAAGCTTCCGGAACTCGGCACCTAGCGTGATCAGGCTTGTCGAGATCTGGAGGTGCAGGTCGCCGTACTTTGTGACGGTGACCCCCATGACGTCACCCACGTGCTTCATCCTGTCGACAAAGCTCTGCAGAGAGTTGAGGTCGGGCGCTCGGACCAAGGTCGCCGGCATCTCCTGGCTGGCCTCGAGCGCGAGCTGGAGCTCCAGGACGTCGGCTCGGGACAGGGGCTTCGAGACGGGGACGTCCTGGATGACGGCGGATTTGTGGCCCTTGGCCTCGAGGGTGAGGAATGGCGCGGCCTGGGTGGAGTGCGGGGGGAGCTTCTTGACGAGCTTGATCTGGACGCCGGCGGGGTTGAGGTCGCGGGAGTCGGCGTAGATAGCGAGGATGGAGCGGAGTGCGCGGTGGAGGAGGGGGAGGTCGAGGGAGAAGGCGATGCGGTCGTCGTTGTGGCTGGAGATTCGGTAGTCGTGGAAGAGGGAGTGCTTGTTGAACTGGGCGACGGAGTGGACGCCGTCGGGGTGGAGGAGGTTGTGGAGGAAGAAGGCGTGGTCGCGGGTGAGGTAGAGGTGGCAGGACCTGCCGATCTTGTCAAGGGCGGGGAGGATGCGCTTCTCGAGGAGGTTGATGCCGTTGTCGGTGAGGAACGCCTTGAATTTCATGGTGGTTGGGGTGTGCCGGAGTTTTGGAGGTGCGGCGGTGGCGCGGAGGAGGAGGAGGAGATGGGGGATTGGGGGATTTTAGGGGAAAATGGAGGGAAAGTAAGGGTCTGTTTGGGCGGGACGATGAAAAGGTTTTCTAAATCTAGGAGCCCTAGTTTGGACCAAATGGAAATAGGGATGTAAATGGGTCGGGGGTTCGGGTTTGGCAAATGGAAATAGGGATGTAAATGGGTCGGGTCAGGTACGGGTTTTAACAAACCCGAACCCGACCCGCAAATAATCTACCCTACCTAAACTTGATCCGTTACCCGGCTAGTGATTTTCGGGTTCGGGTTGGGTTTTACCCGACGGGTTAGTGGGTTTTCGTCTGGTAAATGGATAACTCGAGTCTTTAATTTAGGCTTTGCCTGACCCATCTCGTTTCATATGATAAAATAAAATAAATTTATTTCACAATTAATTATAATGTAACAAATAATTTATTAACTAAGTTTGACAATAAATGCTAAAAATCTGTCGGTCCGTGGATAGGGTAGCGTGCCTTTTTTTCGAAGGTGAAGGACTATAAAAAATTATATTATTTTTGGAATAAATAATGAGATATAATTATTCATCTTTTATAGTCTATTTAATAATATAACATTTAAAAATTAAGTATGTGATTTTTTTATTGTACAATTAATTAAAAATGATAATAAAATCATAAAAAATAAAATAAAATTTAACCATTAATCAAAATTATAATAGATAATTTAATTCTTAAAAATAACACATGACTACTTTTATATTTATAATAAGTTATCTATATATATATATATGTCTACATATATATAAGATTAAATGGTTGCGGGTAAACGGGTAGGATAATCGGGTCGGGTAATGAGTTTTCCTACTATACCCGCACTCAACCCGACCCGGGGTTCGGGTAGCATAATTATACCCGAACCCGACCTGAAACCCAATCATTTCGGGGTTACCCGACCCGAAAATGCGGGTAACTCGATTTTATTGACATCCCTAAATGGAAAGACATCCACCCTATATAAAGGAAATTAAATTCTTTGTTAATATGTTATGCATTAAACATACACTTTATCAGTTTATTCTCTTGATCAAGTTTGACTTGAGCATCACATGTTTTTTGATAGGACATCTCCCTCCGTATTGCAGGTCATCGGAGCTCAGAGTCGGAACAGAAGTACGTTCGAAGATTGATCGGTTCAACCCGGTCCGTGACAAATTGACACATCAAAATGAGTCAAGCTTAGCTCGAACCTTAGGGAGCCGAGCTCACAAGCGAATCGTTTCCCGGTCCGATAATTATTGCACCATTCAACATAGAGCTTTGAATATTCAAACTTTAGTTTGAAATAGATATCAAAATATTCAATTTTTAGTTGCCACTTGAAAATATTACTCCAATCTCATTAATAAAATATATAAATTTTTGATTATTTTGTTGTTTAATTATTGTTGCAAAAATACAACGTAAAACAACATAAAATAACTCAGCATAAAAATGCAACGTATCAACTTAACATTTCGTGTAAGCATTTTAGGAAAACGCTTCATTTCAATCGCTACATCAATTATAATGAGAACTATTTAAAACACTAGAAGATGTATGTGTAGGGACCTGTCTCTGAAAGATATAATCATTACATAGGCAAACAATTCCCGCCCAATTTACATTAAAATGCTGCTAATACATTCTCTGATTCATGCCAGCATCAAAGATCGAAAA